ATATATATATATTTCACTTTCCTGTTCTCTGTCATTTCATTTAATGTTTTTGTTCAGGTGGTCCGAGCTAAAGAGCGCCTGGACGAGGAGCTAAATATTCAGACCCAAGAACAGAAGCAGCCGCCGCCGCAGGATACAGAAACAAAATGATTAAAATTATACCCAGCCCTCCCCTTCCCTTGTAAATTATAACCTAATAAAGCCTTCTCCTTTTTAGTTCTGTGTCTATGAAATGAATCAACTATATTTTATTCATATTTTGTCTTTACTGGAAATAGGCACCGTTTTTAAAAGTAAATCAAAAGCAGAGAAATATGACTGTTTTGTTTCAAAGTGTTGAATTATTCTTAAATATTTATAATTAGGAATCAATAACGAAGGCAGACGTATCAAATGCAATTTTATTAAACATTTCTTGATTTCATTGACATTTATATCAATATCGTAATAAAATTCCTCTAAAACAGGAGAACACAGCTATGTTGTACCAATTGGAGACTTTCACAACTAAAATTCTGCATGTTCAACCACAGAACATGATGCCAGGAAAAATATATTTTCATATAATCCTTTTTTTTTTCATATAGTGTTCTATATTTACCTATAATAAAAAGGCACTTGGAAAAAAAAACTTAAAATACTGAAATATCTCACACATGTGCAAAAACATAACTTGAACAAGCCTTGTGTGGCCTTAGTCTTGTCATTAACCCTTTGTGCAACTTTGTGCCACTTCCAACAAAGGTAGCCTCTTTAGATGATGCTAACCAGGTTAGTTTGTGTCCTGGATTTAAGCTGTTTTATTTATGATAGTGTGAGGGTTACAGCTTCAGGAACACGTACCACTTACAAGCAGAAAATATATTTGAATTCAAACCTTTTAAATTGACAAAAATTGTTCATGGTTCCCATAAAGACTATTAAAAAGATAGAAAAAAACAATAAAATCCCCACATCTATATGGTCTACAAGGGGAGGAAAAGTGCAGTTTATTACAGGCTGAGAGCTCAAAGGGTTAATGGATCATACAGCTTATTTATTTAATATTGAACTCTTGTGGACCCTGTGAGGATCCGTGTCGTGTTCAGGTTTCTGCTGTCAGACGTCGAGTCTCTGTCCCTGCTTCGACCAGCAGAGGAGAGACAGACACTGAGGAGGAGGAGGAGAGCCGCCACATCTGTGGGTTTCACTGTTGCCATGGAGACCGTGTCCGGCTTACCTAACGCCTGCTTCTGATGACATCACAGGCCAGGCCTGTTCATTCACGGGTAAATAATTTCAGAACCAGCCCTGAAGCCGGAGACGGACCAGCAGGGTCACACATGTTCTGTTCATCCCTTCAGTCTAAGAACCTGAAGGTTGACTTTTCTTTTGGTCCCTATTTTGATTTTGCAGAAAGTCTTCGCTGTCAGGCAGAGGGACAATAAGTGTTTATTCTAAAGGGGGAATAAAAAAGAAAAACCGAGGGCAGGAAGAGTTCAGTGACCTATTTTCCTGCATGCTGGTATGTCTGAGCGGCTGTCACACTGGGCACAGCACAGTTGGCTTCAGAGCTGAGAGGACCATTTGCTGGGTAGGTGGCACAGGACGGTAATCCTTTGCTTTTTCTTTCTCTGCTGGCTCCCAGCCTCTGCCCTCATCTATCCCCGTCCGTTCACCGGTTCTCTTTGCTCTCAAACTCCTCTATACTGACAGTCGATGCACAGTAGCTCTTTTTTAGGGTTAAAACAAGATAAAACGCATCAAGGGGAGTTTAGATGCAGATGAAAAAAAGCTCAATTATCCATTTGGATCTTAGTTTTAATTTAATCTATAATTGTGAAGGAGGAATGTAATATCAGTTCACCCACCAGATTTTCACATAAATCTTATTTACCTCTCAGAACAGTGGTTTCAACGGTATTGGCTTCTAAAAATATCACAAGAGTTTATTTATGGCCTATAACCGCATTGTATCATCATGATTTGGACATGTCAACAAATCATCTGAAGTGTAATGAAGAGAAACGTTTGGAGACAATTACTACCTTTTTTAAGGTATAATTAGTAATAAATTTCAAACTTGTGTCTGTATTTAAGGAAAACACAGAAATTTTCACCAGAAAGTTGGCTTTAAAAAATTGTTTTTATCTAACTGACCCCTCTGGTGTCCAAACATCATGTTGTTTAACCACTGCTTCAGAGAAAAGGTTCAAATCGTTCCTGCTCTCCTTGATTCCCACCCCCTTAAGGACCCGAGCTGGACAGCAGAAAGCTGAGTGCAGAGCAGCCATTGCGGAACACAAGAAGCAACATCAACATCACAAGACAATGTTTCGTCTGAACAGCAAAAACAAAACAAAAAAGACAAAATATAAAACAGTTATAGGTGGATCAATCAGATAAGAGAGGGCAATGGAAAAATAAGATGAGTGAAACAATAAGATGGGAACAGGAAAGAGAGGAGTGACGGGGATTGTTTGTTGTCAGAAACTCTCCTGCTCCTCATCCTCTCCTACATGGCAGACACACATGCAGGAGCAAACCCCCACCCAACAACAACATATCTTACAGAAAAATGAAATAGGAGCAAACCGTTTTTTTAAAGAACTTACTCTAAAGCAACATTTTATAAATTGTTTAGTAAGTGCATGTTGACTGTTTAATCGAACCATAAGAAGTTTCTCAGAATACTTTTTTTGTCTTTTTTTGCTCCTTCAGACAGGATTAAATGAGGCAGTTTGGAAAAGTGTGGCTTCCTGTCAGTCCAGCTGTAAGCAGCAGTGAGTGCATCACTTCTCCCCTCACCTCTCTGACACGACGTGAACATCCTTTTTGTCTCTTTCAGCTCATTTTGTCACAACGGGATCTTTCTGATTGAGGCAAAACTGGTGTGTTGACCAGCACCTGTTTCTTACAGCTGGTTTAAGGTCAGTTTAGTAAAAAATAAATAAATCTAAATAAAAGATCGTAGCGCCTGGCACCACTGAGACCCTTTTATACACAAACTGGTTGTGTTGACTGAATTACGGTAAAACAGCTGGACAATCCTTGAGCCAAACGGGGAGAGTTCTATAAGTCAGGATGTTTCTCACGTCTTGCCAGAGGGGGGAGTCAGACACACCGGTGCTTTAAAAACAATAGTTCAGATCTTCTGAAGCAGAGTTCTGTGGAAAAGTTATGAACTTCAGATATATTCCTTTATGTAGACAGCTCTTTGAATGACATCATTTTGAAGAAAACACAATTACTTTTTGGCTAGACTGAGGAGGTAACTGCTGGTCTGAGTGAGGCCAAGACCAAAGTGGACTCCTGCCGTCCTAAAAAAATTCAAACTTCAAAAAAAAATTTCCAAGTTGTTCAAGAGAATGCTGTTTATAACATTTTAAATGCTTTTGATTATAGTGGCATTATTTATGTGCGTTCTTTTTAAACGCTTTATTTAGATCTTGTATAGCATATTTTCATTATAAATTAGTTTTTATTTATGCATTTGATGTTGATAATTTATTTGCAAGCTAATAACAGCTGGGCTACAGCACTTCCTGTGCAGCCTGAGACATTTTAACAGGAATATCGTCAACTTTTGCTGGAATAACCACAAACTGGCAGCGGTGAACTTGTTTCATAAAATAGTATTTATCTGGCCCACTGGACTAGCCTTTAGCTTTTCAAACCTATCCAAATTAAAAGTTTTTTTTCTCTAAAGTGAAATCTTTCACATTTATCACCAACATGTAAGATACTCACAGCCTTTCCTCAAAACTTAACTTTAAAAGATCTCAACTATTCTTTGAAATGTGAGGAAAGAGGAAATGATGATCATTTGTCAAGTGGTGAAACACCATCGGTCTGTAAGACATCAGAAAAGTCTAAATCCTAAAAGCCTCTAGTCTGCACACCTGGCACATATTCTGGTGGACTAGTCTGGTCTGTGTTGATCACCCTCCCCAAACCGGGGACAGATTGTCAAAAAAAAAGTGCTCTTTCCCAGTTTATTATGTTGCACTGGAGGAGCAGAGAGGTTAGCAGCAGTTTTGAGGTTTCAATACTTTAACCAGTTGACACCATTAAGTGCTCCGTTTAGCTGACCTGTCCTCTGGACAAATCCAGGAAAGTCTGAGTTCACTTGCTTTGGTTCAGCAAGCTTGTCTGATTTAGATTATTCACATCAACCTGCAAAAAAAACCTTTAAAAATATGAAATATCTTCCTATTACATGCACATTTGCCTAACTGTGAGTGCTTCATTCGTGGTGTTTGTATCTCACTGCTAAGCTGGAGGCACGCTGTCAAAGTACGGTCATATAAATATCTAATAACGAGGACTTTTGCAGGAACAAGGAGCGCTAAGACCGTCGCATTTATGGTCCCTGTCCACAGAACCAGCAGGAATGGATAAAGTATAAAATGAGAAAGCAAAAAGGAGCCTGTTTGTAAGGCCTTGTGATATTAAGACAGGACGCTACAAGTTCCTGAAGACAGTTCTTGGGCCCCGAGTTACGTTTTTCAACGAAACAAGAGGCTTGCGTTGTATAAGTTTTATATTTAAAAGATGTGAGGGCTTGTATTTATCTGATAGGTGATTTCACTTTTAAAAACACTTAACCACAATGCACTGCCTGGAACTGATTGTGCAAGCCTCTTTCTTTGACCTCTTATTCTCTCACTATGGCATTGACCCTCCTTTTTGACCCCCTGAGCTCTTCTGGAATGTGTGTGTGTATGTGTGTGTGTGTTGGGGGGTTGGAGGTGGTATCAGTTGACTACAGCTGGCTTCAGCACCACAGCACCTGGGGGAATGACCACCCAGGACAGCGGATCATGAGACCCTCCAGTTGAGAGGTTTAGGACCCCCCCAGGCACCTCGTCCTCGGCTTCCTCTCCTGTGCCTTTCTTTGTTAGGTGGCTCTGGACCCTGCGCTCCGACACAGCCCCCGGCATCGACACCATTGGCAGTCCGAGGATTGACGAGGGAAACGGCGGGGAGAGCAAAGGAGCCTTGGCCAGGCCCAGGGGTGAACCATTAAAGGACAAGATGGATGTGCCTCCCAAGCTGGTTGGAGGGGAGTTGGAGGTCCCCAGGGTGCTGAGGTCCAGGGGCCTGGAACTGAGGGGGGACAGGGGCAGGGTACTACCCAGACCTTGCATGGTATGGCCTCCCAGAAGAGCCGCTGCTGCTCCGGGGATGATTATATGGGCTCCGCTCAAATAGGACAACTCTGAATTCTTATCACCATCGCCTGTAGCAAGCCCTCCGCTCTGACTTCCCTTTAGCAGCGAGCCCACTCCACCTGGGGAGCCCTGCTCTTGAGCCACAAAGTGGCCGTGCGCTTTGATGTGCTTCCTCAGAGAGCTGGGATCCGTGTAACGTTTCAGGCAGCCCACCATCTTGCAGTAGTAGGGCTTGTCTACATAGTGTGTGCGTGTATGTTTGAAGCGGTCGCTGGAGTTGGAGTAGCGCTTGTTGCAACCCTCATAAGGACAAATGTAGGGCTTTTCACCTGCAGCAAGGAGAGATTAGACACATGAGATTTCTTTGCTCATGTCTGGATTTCCTTTTGATTACATTCTTGAACCCAACAAAGTTGTGATGTGTAAAATGCAAATAAAAAAAGAACGCAATGATTTACAAATCTCAAAACACATTTACTCACTATATAGTCAATTCTGCCTCAAGTCATTAAGGTTTTATTAAACTAACCTGTGTGTGAGCGGTTGTGTATCTTGAGGTTCTCCAGGCGTGAGAAGCTCTTGTTGCAGGTGGGACACCGGTGGGGTTTCTCATTGGTATGAGTGCGAATGTGAATGAGCATTTTGTATCTGTATGTATGCACACACAATATTAATAATCTTACATCCACTTCTTAAATTCTCTTCCTAAGTCGGTGCAAAATAAATTCTCACCTGGCATTAAACCCCCTCCCTTTTCGAGCACAGCCCTCCCAGTGGCAGCAGTACCCAGAGTCTTTCTCAGGTTTGACGTGGAAGTCGTTGACGTGGTCCACTAGATCTTGTAAGGAGTCAAAAAGGAGGTGACACTGAAAGAAAGGAAATAGTTTGATAAGCTTTTGCAATGACATTGTTTAGTTTCATGTTTCAGTGCGACTTCTTTTCCCTGCTAACTTTCTGAGTCTTACCTTCTTCCAGCGACAAGCCAGTTGTTCATCTGCTGAGAGGTCGGGAGAGGCCCTCTTATCGTTTGTTTGGCCAATAAACATAGAAGATGGCAGATGAAGTCCTGCCCCAGGTCCAATTGGCACAAAAAACTGAAATGCCTGTGAGAGATGTGAAATGTACATAAGTATTTATGTAAAACTGTTGAAAAGAAGCTTAAACAAAAGATTTTAATCAAGTGTACTTAGAAAATAGTGAGCACAAAGGGACATGAATTACAGGTCAAATGCATCATAAAAGTATAAAATAAAAAATAATAATTCTCATCCATCCATTCGTTCATTATCTACTACTTGTTCCAGGGTCAGGTAGCGGGGGAGGTAGCTTGAGTAGGGAGGCCAAAACCTCTCTTTCCCCAGCCATCTCTTCCATCTCTTTTGTATCAATCCAGTGGCACTGCCCCCAATGTCCATGCAATGAGGCAATGGCGTGTCAACCAAGACATCCCCACAACATCCAGAGTTTTAAAGGGGCAATATCATGTAAAATCAACTTTTTTGAGTTTTATATCATGTTATAATGTTGTACTCACATAAAAAAAAAACATGCCCAAAGCCTTGCTTTGACTCATTCATGCATGTTTGAGAAATCCTGCAGCGTTTTTAGGCAGCCATGCTGAGGAGCAAAACGACAGGTGGGGACCAGAAACACCTTTTGGGACCAGAAATGCCTCTGGGATGTGTCCTTTTGGGACAAGCTCCTCCTCTGGGATGTGTCTTTGGGCTGAGCTTCCTCATGACTGAGCGCCCCTGCCCACCCCCCATCCTCCCACCCGCTCCGCGACTCCGGCAGGCTACGTGCTTAAATGGGCGTGACCAAAGTGGTTGGATTTTCTTAAAGAGACAGAGACCTATTTTAATGCGTTTTAGAAACTGTCAAGATGAGAAGTAAATTGTTTTGGGGATTTTTACAAATATATAGCTCTTTCATAAGCTGAAAATGTGACATAGTTATTTTATTTTAGTATAAAATTGAAATATAGGCTTGGAAAGCATATAATATCACCCCTTTAAGGCCTTTCCATACTCTCTCCGAACTGCCAAAATCGTCTCTCATTGTCACAATTAAATTACGTAAATTGCTTGTTATTTAGTTTGGAGTGCTGACTGGACCTCCCCTTCTCGATATAAGGCCTTGGCCAAACTGTTTCTCACCGTGCTCTGTGCGAAGCGTTGTGTGATTGGACTAAAGTTCATGGGCGTGTTTGTTTATGCTAAAAGCACTCAGATGCTGCATTTTGCTTCACGCTTTCAGAATGTGACTGTTGTAACCAAAAGCGGACATTTTATAAAGATTGTGAAATGGAAAAAAACTTATGAATGGAGATATAAAAAAAGATGTTTTGCATGGAGGAGTCCATCTGCAGAAAAGTGTGGAGCTTTACTAAGACAGATTTGTGGGCAAATAATGGCGGATCTGAGTTTGTTTTTTTCCTGGAGTGTAGACTCCAGCGGTATGGAACCCTGTGCAGTGACGTGTACCACAGCGGGAGGAGTTTCTGAGGTGTTCGGTGTCACAGGGACTATGAAAGGTGTGTGCGAAAATGAATGCCGAATGTGCACGTGACCATGCTTCAACGGTTCGACTTCAGATGGAGTATGTAGAGGCCTTCAAGAAAATCAGGGTGAATCTCATCCACCACCTGACACCCTAGAGTGTTTTTAACTATCTTGACAACCTCAGCTCCAGTTATGGACAGACCAACCCTGAAATTCCCAGACTCAGTTTTATCTATGGAAGACGTGCAAATGAGATTGAGAAGGTTCAAGAAGTATTCCTACCCCCTCCCAACGGCATCACTGGTTGAGGTCAGCAGCACCCTGCCTTCACTGAGCACAATGTTAGTCCCCAGATATTTTGCCAGAATTTCCTAGGAGCCGATCCAGAGTCTTTGTCCAAGGCCTCACTGAACTCCTTCCACATCCAAGCTTTTGCCTCAGCACCAGCCATGACTGCGGTTCATTTGGCCTGCCAATATTCCCAATATTACCAGCCAACAAGGCCCAATTGGAGTCCTTCTTCAGCTTGTCAGCCTCCCTGACCCGGAGTGTCCACCACTGAGTTTGAGGATGGCCACTGCGAGAAGCACCGACAACCTTGTGGCCACAGCTCAAGACGGCTGCCTTGACAATTGAACCATGGAACATGGCTTACGTTGACTCAAAGTCCCCCACCTCGGCTGGGATGTAGGTAAAATTCTCCCGGAGGTGTTAGTTGAAGATCTTTCTGACGGTTTCTTCTGCCAGGAGTTCCCAGCAAATCCTCACTACACTTTTGGGTCTACTGGGTCTGTCCTGCATCTTTCCCCGCCATTTGATCCAACTCACTACCAGGTGGTGATCAGCTGACAGCTCAGATCCTCTCTTCACCCGAGTGTCCAAAACATATGACCGTCGATCAGATGACATGACTACCGTACAAAGTCAGTCATTGATCTACGACCTTGGGTGTCCTGGTGCCACCTGCACTCATGGACATGGTGTTTGTTATGGAAAAACCATGACTAGCACAGAAGTTCGTCAACAGAACATCACTCAGGTTGAGATCAGACCGTTCCTCCCAATCATACCACTCCAGGTCACACTGTCGTTACCCACATGAGCATTGAAGTCCCCCAGCAGAAAAAAGAAATCCCCAGCTGGAGCATCTTCCAGCACCCCAATAAGAACTCCATGAAGACTGGATACTCTGAAGTGCCGTTTGGTGTGTATGCACTCTATCTAGTTGGTACCTGTCTAGTTGGTACCTCTCAAACTCACACACAAGCTCAGGGTCCTTCCTACTAGAGAGGTGATGTTCCATGTCTCAAGAGCCAGCTTTGGTAAACCAGGGTCAGAGTGACTTCATGCACCTGATTTATATGGCCCCTCCTGCAGGTGGTGGGCCCACAGGAAGGCAAAACCTTATTGCTCGTTCGAGCTGAGCCCGGCCGGGCCCCATGGGTGCTAGCCACCAGGTACTCCCCATTGAGCTCCTCCCCCAGGCCTGGCTCCAGGGTGGGGCCCAAAGAGTTTATATAGAACAGCTGGAGTGCGCAGAAATCACGTGACCGTGTGATCGGCTGGTGAAGCTAACGGCTAACACAAAACAGTCAAGAGTCTGGATTTACCATTAGTGTACACGTTGACAACAGAGCAGAAAAAAAGGACTGACGATGTAGAAATCATAAAAACTATTAATAATAATATTAACCCAATTATTATTAATATTTTACAGTTTATATAATCTGTCTAATATTTTAAATAATGTCAGAAAAGCTGTTTGTGTTATGGATTTATTAACTGAAGAGAAGCAGGAAAATGTCTCATTTCACAACACAAGTCAGCAGATTTGATCTTATTTAGCTCAACGTGATCTGAGCAGAACATAATGTAACAGTTTAAAATTAAAATAATCTTATAAAGTCGATGTAATCACTGTTATTTTTTTTGAACTGGTTAGCAGATATTAGCTTGTGGAGCATATACAGAGCACTGTTGAATCATGCTACAATTTAACACAAACTATTAAATATTGCAGCTGATTTGTCCTCTGATTAATATTTAGACCTACCGAGTGTAAAATAATATTATAAATGTGAGTATTTTTAGGTTTCTGTTAGAGGAACCTGACCTGTTGAGAAGATGGTTAGATAATAGAGACACGTTTCATCCTATAACCAGAGAACATTTTCTAACTGTTGACTGGTAAATATAAATATTCGTATAATTTATGACGGTAAGAAGAAATATTAAATATACTTTATTACTAACTGAAGTCATCATTTTTCAACTAGCTAAAGTCTAAGTTACAGGCTGACTTCAGGTCTGGTTTAGATCATTGTTATTTATAAATTATGTATTTTTCTAGTATACATCTACTGTTTTACATGATTGTTGAATGAAATTAACATAATTATTAATTTATTGTAAAAACATGACAGATAATCTGTGAAACAGATCCAGTTCATCTTGCTGTTTATCTATTAGTTTATATGGAGGCTGTGAGCCGTTGCCCTGTTTGGTCTGTTTCTGCTCCTCCATGTTGTCACAGATGTTACCAGTGGACGGTATAGGCGGGGCTTAATCTAGTGTTCTTATTCAAGTCTATGGTGAAGCCCTAGTGACCCATGTCCAGGTAAGGGACACAGAGCTCTTTGAGTGTTTTGAACCACGCTTTGTCTGGCGTGTCGCCTAGGCCCAATCGATTGGGACCAATTGGGAAATCCTACCAGAAACGGCCAAAACAAAACCAATTGGAAGACCCTACCAGGGGCAATTTCCATCACTTCCAACAGCTCTGACAACTCCTAGGATTATTCAGGCATACAAACCCCTCCTCCACGATGAGGTGATGATTCAAAAATGCTCACAAAAATGGAAACATTTGTGTAATTATTGAATCTCCAAAGCATCACATTCTTGAAAATAAACCATCAGCTAAAGATCCGGTGACAAATGGCTTGACAGAGTAATAAAGGAGAAGCCTATTCTTGCTCAACTGCTGATTTTCATCTCACTCTTCAACAGATCCACTCCACTTTTCTTCTAGTAGTCACCTGCTGTGTGCTACAAAACCTCCCAACATCCCTGAGCTCAGCATGAGAGCTTTACGATTCAAAGAGCCTCCACTGGGTCTTGAAGAGCTAAAGCATCAACCCACACACACACACACACACACACACACACACACACACACACACAAANCACACACACACACACACACACACACACACACACACACACAAAGAGTGAAACTTCAGCTGAATCGAAGATGTGAAACCAGAGGAGAAAAGATGAAGCGAGAAAAAAGGATGCATTTGTGCCAAAGAGTTGCATGTGACAAATTTCATAAAATGAGACCAATTCCTTGTGCTGAAAGAAATGCAGCTTTCTATGCAAAACTATGCAAGCTGCTTTGTAAGGACATGTAGAGGATAAAGCATGTGAGTGTTTGCCATGTGAAAAATGTGTAAGACACACAAAGAGAGTAATAGTGTCCTGGTAATGTTCACGGGGGATAAGTGTGCAGAACAGCTCAGTGGGGGCACAGGGTGGCTGAATGGCCTTAGCCAGCATGTCTAGATTCAATTGCATGGGAATTGAATTAGGAGGCATGAGGTCTGCATGGCTGTGGTTTGGCCTAAATCTGATTAGACATGTACACACACACACATACACACATGCGTGCATCATGCCAGCAGGGCCACTGAGTGTAAGCTGCACAGACAAAGGCATTTGTTGGGGAGAGAGGACATGTTTGATAAGAGGCCTCCCATTTTTTGCACAACACGAATCCCTTCTGTGAGTCTGACACAATCCCATGTTGCTCCTGATTCAATGACCCCAGCAGGCCAAGTCACTCTCTCTCTCTGTTTCTACAAAACAAAGTTTGGCCACCCACTCCTGCACTGAAATAGTGTTTATTTTTCAAACACCTACAAGAAAATATGAGGGGAGGTTATAGAGATTTCTATGAGTAAATGCAAACCGGTTAAGGCTTTTTTTTTTGGCTACCTGCAGGTGTCTGTGTGCCGTACTCACCCCTGAGGGTACATAGTTGTTCATTTCTGGAGAGCTGGGAGTGTGGCGGGAGGAGGGAGACATGCTTAAGTCCACTGCAGGAGGAGTTGGGGTATCTGCTCGATCATGAGGGACCACCTGCACACCTAATATGCACACAAGCGCATATTCCAGTGACCTCTCCCTGAAGGTGTCTGTTACAGAAACATTTGGAAGGAAAGCTTGCAGGTGAAGACTAATATGTTACCTACCTGAGTGTGGAGATGCTGGTGACGCAGGCTCTATAACAGCCGTCCCATCATCTGTCATGTGGAGTTGACGACTACGCTGGGGGTGCAACAAGAGTGGAGTAGAGTGCGCACCTCTGTCCTTCCCATTTGCCCGACGAGGGAGTTTCAGGTCCAGGGGCTCATCCAGGGACAACATGACTGCAACCCGCTGACCTCCCAACTGTACAAAAAAAAAAAAAAAACACAGAAGGGGAAGAATGGGAAGAGTTAAGTCTGTGTCAATCCAGTAAAGCTCATCTTTAAAGTTTACAAAGTTAAAAATGTGAGGATTTATTAGCGTGCCTTTTTAATACCATCCAACTGTGCAACATGTTTCCTTCAGAAATGATAGTTCTTCCAGCTTTCATTAAAATGAGGAATGTTTTATAACTGTTGCTGTGTGAGGAAAATGTTTCTACCAGCTGGGCAGATGCTTAAAACAAACCAGCGCTGTTGATTGTCAGGGAAAATGTTTCAGAACTTATTCAGCATTCAATTTTACTAAACAAATTTTATAAAGGCTGCAAAAATCACAAAGCTTCTCGGTTTTTGGACAACTGTTCGTGCTCTGCTACCACCGACCGAATAAATATTATTCGACAAATGAAACCCGACCAACTGAGAAACGCAAATAAGGAAAAAAAAATCACCCACAGCAGAGGGCAGGTTCTCACACCTGCAGCGTTTCCCACATGAATGTTGTTAAATCTCACATGCCAAAACCCCGTTGGGTACGAAACACTCTCCAACAATAGCGAACCGACCACAATAAGCTGAAACACCGAGCAAGCCTAAGAAAAATAAACACTCACGCACACGGTGAGGGTTCTGTGACCCCCATCTCCTTTTCCATTCCTGACCTTTACTCACACTCTTCCTGAGGAATTTCTACAATCCGATCCAGATGGTCACCCCCCCCCACCACCCCCCACTGTCAGCCCTCTCTCACCTCACCCCTTGGCCAGCCAATGGCCTTTGCACCCTGTCGCATCAACCTGCCCCCCACCACCACAACCACCACAGTGTGCAACTTCAGACTCTGTGGACCTTTGAGACCCATAGGCAACGCTGCAGGCCTTTAACTCCAGCTGTACCGGCATCATCCGCCCCAGCCCACCCTGTCTAAACACACTGACCTCTGGACCCCGTCCGCAGGCAGAATGCTTCATTTAGCTGTCATTCTGACCAGGTCAAATTTGTCAACTTCTTTTTTTTTTTTTAGAAATAACCATTTATATGTCGGCCAATGTGATTAACTGTGACAACCGTTTTGGATTGCTCTGATTCTCAAAGTTAATCAATCATATAAATACAATACAAATATTAACTTATCAACATGAACGTGAATAAATCATTCTGATTGATATCAAATAATTTCCTGCATCACGTGTCCAAGCGTGGCTGAATTAAATCCAAGCTCAGCACTTCAGGGTTCACTGCTCCTCCTCTCCGTGCACACATCTCCTCAAAGCGTTTCACGTCTTCACGTCGCAGAACCGGGGTGTCCTACATTCCAAGTTGTAACATAAAACAAAGAGGTTCAAACACACGTACACAAATGCTCAAATGCGTACACACAAACACAAACCCCTAATTAATTTAACTATAATTTCATAAATTTGTCTGTCCTCCGTCTCCCTCACCCAAATGTTCAGAGGAACCACGATTAGCGCTGAATGGTGGGCTTTGAGAGCGACTGGCCAGCAGCCATATGAGGAGACCTCGTCTCTCCGGGAGCCACGAAGCCAAGAGGTCAGTAGGTTCATCATCCTGACAAGCCACCAGCTCACACAGCCGTGTGCGGGGGTGGTGGGGGGGGGGGTGTAGGTAGAGACGCAATCAGCCACAGATAAGAGGATGATAATGCACACATGTACTGGTGCAAACAGAGGATTATTCTGTGCACACAGAGCAGCATTATACCGTTACCGTCGTGATGTAAATATGTTCTTCACATGAAAAAGAAACATTGTCGGAGTTGAATCTGAACTAGTGAATTTCTTTTACAGATCTTCATGATATTGTAAATAGCTGAACAAAAAAAAAGAAGAAAAAAACTAATCAAATAAGTCACTGCTTCAGGTTGTTTTGAGATGCTCTGACACGTTTGAGAATAAAATGCTCATAATGTTTGTTGTGGTGTAATGTGAGACAGGAACACCGGGGCCCAGACTGTTAGACAGGTTTCTCCACTGTCTGACATTTACTGCACATATCCACTTTCACCTGTACAGACTGCACATATTTAGTTCTTTGTATTTTTAGCCACAAACTTTCTGTTAACACGAATGAACAATTTCCATCAGTTGAAGCTGGCTATATTGGCTTTAATATTTGTAATAGTTATAGTTTGATAATGTTGCCGTGAGCACAGAAAATAAATGTGTACCGTACTGAATGGGAGCTTTAACACTACATCTCAGTGTTTGTCCTCTGCATTGGCTGGATCAGATTCAACTCCTACCACACAGACCGCAAAGAAATGTGGCTTCATTGTTAGGAAAAAAAGCATCAGAAGTCAGCTGTCATCCCCTTCAGAGTAAAAAGCTTTTACCCTTAGACACAGAACAGTTGTCAGCTTAGCCTCACCATACATTCTGCTCTAATCCACCATGGGGACAAATGGTAAACTGGTCTTCTATAAAAACCTAAATTTAAGCTATAAAACAAAAAAAGAAACATTAATCCAGATATTTCTGGAACCAAATATCAGTATATATTCAAGTCTTTTTCAGCTCTTTGATTCATCAAACATTGAAAATATTCATCCAAAGCAACAATTGGTCATGAAAAGCATCCTATCCAGTTAATAATCCCTAAATCCCAGTGGATTTGACCAGAATCAGTCCCAACTGTCATATTTCACCTCCGTCTAACCTCATGATTATTTCTTGGAGAAAGAGCAGAGGATGGCTGGGAAATGACTCAGGGTGTGTGGATCTTGGACTGGGCTTATACGGGATCTCGACTGCATCTTCCAAACCGTCAGTGAGAGGGGGCTTGTGGGAAATATGAGACAAAGCGGCAGGGCGATGGACAGAAAGAATGATGCAGTGAAGGGAGGACTGTGACGGACTGCGTGTGCATGCCTGCGTGATGTGTGTGTGTGTGTGTGTATAAAGCTTTGTGGCGGGTGGCTGTGAGGTTTGAGGAAAGGGTGTTGGCTGGGCCCCATGCAGACTTCCTTGCTCGGCCGTGGGGTCGACAGCATCTCTGAAAGGCAGCATTGTCCCTCTGTGGGCCCTCTCTTCAATCTCCAGCAGAATAAACACTGACTACAGCAGCTAAACGGGTGGGAGGGAGGACTGCAGGGGCCGCAGCGAGGATATATGAGGGGGATGAGGAAGTTGAGGAGGAAGATTCCTCAAAGAGAGTCTTGTATGTGTCCTTTTTATCCACCTGTATTAACCTTTTCTGTTTAATTTGTCGATCCAAAGTTTTTGATGAGGTTACTGGGTGCTTTTGAGGGCAAGTTTGGGTCAAAATTGGGGCATGTGGGATGGTAAAAGAAAGAGGATGTGCAGATGGGCATCAGGTCAAAAGGAGGGCTACATGTTTCAACACCCATGGATCAGTGTTTGACCCAGTTCTGACTGCTTGATCTTCTGCCTGATCTGATCTGAGGAGATATGTACGCAGAGGATCACGTTTCTGCTCAGTCTGACGCTGCAGACTGAGCAGAAACAAGATCCAATAAACAGCATTGAAAATCTAACCATAAAGCATAAGATGATTATGTTTCAGGGTATAAAATCATATTGTGTAATATTTTGTTTTCCGTGAGTCTTTTACAGGCTGAAAGAATGTGTATGAGTACACATTTTATGACCCCCTCTGTGGTTGGCTGTAACTTAATCTCCCTCCTGCTGTGACCCTGGGAGGTGGTCCGTAGGAGGTAAACCATCTCTCCCCGAGGCGTTTCACTCTCTCTTTTTTTCCCCATTTCCACACAAAGGCAACAAGACTGAGATAACAGCGCTGTAAAAACATAGCCTCTCTGATTGATTTCCCACTCTAAGTACCACTAAAGTAGTATGCTTTTACGTAAAACAAATATTTGCAGCTGTAAGGAGATGTAATAATCTTTCCAGACCAAGAGATTTGACAGATTATGTCAGAGATATTTAGTTATTTACTATCATCTGTTGCTGGACTAGGCTCTGTAACAGCCTTCACAATCAGGTTTGACCATGACATTTAATAAATCTGCAAAACTGTGTGAATTGGGAAGAAAAAATATAGAATGAAATTGCTTTTAAATAATTTAACATGTGTGCAATATAAATATTAATATTGGACAAATGACAAAAGGGTTTTAGAGATGCATTCATTTTAACACATTATTAGAATTTTTTCAAAACAAAATAGTAAGTGGGACTTTTAACACTTTAATTACAACTGTTCTTTTAAGCAACCTAAAGTAAAACTTTCCAAAAGAAATGGCTAATTAATTCAAATAGATACTAAAATAAAGAGTTTCGTAGAAAAAGTGTAAAAAATTGTTCTTAATGTTAATGTAATTTAAAGGGTTAACAGTGATGCTTAAAAAGACCCAGTATTCAGACCTGTTGGTCCAAAAGGTGAGAAGGCCGGGGTCAAAGTAAGATGTAGGTGTGCTGTGACCTCTGAACTTTGACAGCTGCATTCTACATCAGCAGCTCAGGCCAAACCTAAATAAACTGAGTTAGCCTTTTCTGATTCACATTTACCTGTTAACAAGAGCTGTCTAATCAGTGCTCAGATTAGATGAAACTTTCACCTTTTCCTTGATGCATTTTGTTTTCGTGTTTAAAGAAGGTACAGCTCACATTGGCCTGGCCCTGCTGCAGCGAAGAGTAACACGCCGAAGCTGATGCCCAACAAACAGGTGAAACCGCGCGTCTGCTGAGCTCTGCTGCTGAGGGGCCTGGGCTGCCGCCATCGGACCTGGGAGCTGCTGATACCAGGCCTGGGCTGGAGATGATGCAAACTGAATTTGTAAAAATACTAAATTGGTTTCAACTTAACAAATTTTCATTAAACGTGATATTTAGTAGTAATAAGAGAATTGTCAATGTTCCATTCAGAATTGATGGTGTTGAGATTTGTAGAGTCAGTGAGCTAAAGTTTTTGGGTGTCATTTTTGATGAAAAGCTGATATGGAGACCTCACACAAATTATTTAAGGATAAAAATGCCTACCATAAATCTACTGTGTAAAGTAAGGGAGTTATTCAATAATAAAGCTCTGTATATGTTGTATAATGCAATAGTTCTCATGTAGCGTAATATTTCTGGGTATTTCCAGCCAAAACTTCCACGTTGGAAGGCGGAACTCACATTAGATGTGGTTGAGTTTGATTGTCAAGGAGAAAAAAAATTTTCAAAGCTGACAATGGTCATTTTATGATTCCATGTCAGGTGGAAAGATGTTCCAAAAGATCGGCATAGAGCGCAGTTTTCACAACGAACGTCGGCGAGTCTGGGCTTGGACACATCAACCGCAAATTTCAGCGATGACAACATCAAGAATCTGCTCCGGTCACTTTTATTCCGGTAAAGAAATGTTTGTGCTGGAACCATTTTGTTCATGATTTAGTACTGTACGTCTGCTGTGTTTGTAAACACTCGCTCCACCTGTGCAGACACCTACAGTATATGGTATATTTTAATTTTGAGAATCAGTTGCATTGGCATGCATCAGAAAGTTAAAAAAAGTCCTAGTCATTAGTGTAGATAATGTTTTATTGGTATTTGTCTTAGTGGTTAACACTGTCACCTCACAATGTCCTGGGTTCTCTTCCCGACCCGAGTTGCAGATAGGCTCATTTTGTTAGGTTGGTAATATTTACAAAGCACAATGAACAAGTATCAAAGGATATCAAAGTGAAAATAAATATTGTAATACTAAGAAAAATATCAGTCATGTTTACTGTAGCAATGACTAACCAAATAAGCTAAGCTAATGTAGTGCTATCGCTGAGCTATGATGAGGAACATATATACTTGTACGTTTCATAGTTAATTATTTTCCAGTCACTACAACCTTGTTAATCACATGAATAGTTTGGATGTCCTTTACAAAAAAGACGTAAATGATAGTAGTCAGACTGACATAAAAAATGTATTCACAAGGTATAAAAAACATGCGGTTATACTACCTAATCATTTTATAGAGACTAAATGAGGTTAGTCATTTTTCTTCCACTTGTGTCATTGATGACGTATCTTAAGGTACTGACTACCACGGAGCCCACCTCAGCTGGCACATCCTCCCACCTTCGTCCCTCATCAGCTGATGGCTCACCAAAACACAAACAGACAGACAGCTGGGAGACTTTTTATTTTCCCTCAGTCAGCCTCCCCTCCTTTGGGCCTCTTATTCCCTCATTTTCTTGTATTCTTTTTAAATTTTTTTCCAGCTTTGTTCAATTTATCTTTTATGTTATTCTTCTTTGACTTGAACAGCTGCAGCACTGTTTTGAATGACATTAAAAGTAGTGCTGTTAGGGCAGAATGATGGATCAGTGCTTAGCACTGATGCCTCACAGCAAGAAGGTCCTGGGTTCGATCCACAATTCTGTACAGAGTTTACATTTTCTCCTCATGCTTATATAGATTTTCTCTGGGTACTCCAGTTTCTTCCCACAGACTAAAAGCATGTACTGTACAATAGCTTGCCTTCAGCCCTCCCTTGCAAAAGTGATCTGTGATCTCTATGGGATTTGCCTGGTTAAATAAAGGTCAATGAATTAAAAAAAACATTATTCACACATTTCTTTAGAAATCTAATTTTTTTATTTTACGTTTCACTGAGCTCTGTTGTTCATGTTGCTCATTTAAACCTCTCTGCCTCCTTCCTGAACCGTGCTGCAAACACACAGACTCTAAGCAGGATTATGTAATATCAGCATGCATGGAGCCCCCAGGGAAGAGCTACAGAAGGAAAACAGTTTGTGGACTGCTGGAGCCATAATGACTTGAGTACAGAGAAACAAGCGCGTGAAATAATTTGTTGCAACAAACAGAAAAATAAGCTTAAGCTACCAATTTTTACTTCACTGTCCTAAAAGGTGAAGAGAAATAAATTAACAGGGAATGAAAATGAGAGAGGTGGCAGTGAGGAAAGATGAGACGAAACAAGGAACAGAGGAGAGAAGAGGGAGGACATGAAGGAAAGAATAAAAAAGGGAGGGATAGATTTAGTCAAGTAAGGAGAGAGTGCAACAGGAAGCTTCTCAGCGAGCTACTGATGGCCTCCAGCCAGAGTTTTCAGACACGGAGGAATTCCAGTCAGAAGGCAGAGAGAGAGGGAAGGTGCCAGGAGGGAGGCGCAGAACGAGGAGGGCGGGTCGCGCTGTGGTTTGTTGTCAAAAGGAGACAGGAAAAAAGGAGCAGCACATGCTTCAAGTGGTAACTCAGTGGTTTAAAATATATTTGTTATTATGCAAAACTTTTAAATATTAATAAAATAAATCCAAATGTGAAAAGTTACTAATTGTTACAATTACAGAGGGCAATATATATATATATATATATATATATATATTACATCAAATTTGAGAGATTTTGAACCCGTCACATGCAAATTATTTGTATTTTTAAGCCATATAACAAACAAAAAAATAATATTCTATTTTAAACTAATATACACTAACTCTAAGAAAAAAAGCATTTGTGTCAGTTTAACATCTAATTGTGACTTTTTTGAGCAATGTTTCATTTTTAAACAGCCGTTGTGCCTACAGCTGACCAAACTGAGTGAAAAGCAAAGTTTGCAACATCTTCTTGAATTGAACTTGACTTTTCTAGAGTTATTTCCATCATTTTGTTTTCATCAGTTCAACATGGACTTGACTGCCTTTAAGAAAACACATATCTGAGCAGAACAAAGTGCAAGCTTGTTCATGCTGTTGAAACATTTGAACTACGTGTTTTTGTGGTGTCTAATAAGACAATGTTTTTCTCTGGTAACCAGGAGGTACTTATCTTCCTATATTCTTTTTGACTATGAAAAAAATGCCCCTAACCCTTTAAACCAATCAGTTTGGTCTTAAGTGACTCAAATAAAAATTATTGTGGACATATAAACATAATTAATGACTTCAAATTTCATGCTGCAAGCACCTTCCGGTCTCAAATTATGACTAATATTCATATTCAAATGCATTTTTAACTATCTTTTTATGGGCTGGTTTGTTTTAACCAAGCCAAAATGTTACATGTCCCTCCATAGGGCATTCCAATTTCATGCAGCTAGCACCTTCCTTTCTCAAGTTGTGACTAAAATTAATCTTAAAAAGCATAGGTGCGTCCTGCCCGACTTGACCAAGCTACCCCCCGCTGCCCCCAGCTTCTTCAAACCACACCGTTAATCTGACTGATCATGTCTTGGGCCAACTACGCCCACAAAATAAGAAACTCCTGTGACTGCAGAGACCCCCTTCTCAAGTCATGGATGGATGGATGGATGGTTGAAATGAATGGATGTTTTTCTTTCACCCTGTAATTTCTTAGATTATGAACAAATACGTAAAAAAACAGTCATGTTTTCATCCAATTGTAACGCAAATTTTAAGCAAACCTTTAAAATGTCAAGAAAATTAAAAAAAAGAAATGTGGATTAGGCATGTTTCTATTAGGGCTGCCACAAATGATTATTTTTATAATCGATTAATCACCAATTATTTTTTCGATTAATCGACTAATCGAATCATACATTAACTGAATATAAAACATACAGCTTATCGCACCAGAATGCAGCTGCTATTATATAACCATGGTTAGATTTTAGCTATATGCTAACTAAAAATAATTGCCGTGGAAGGCAAGTTCTGCTCTGCAGATATTGCACAGGTTTCTCTTTCATTTTCTTAAAATGATCCCACACTTTTGAGCTCCGTAGGTAGCAA